GTGCTGATTCGAATGGTGCTTATTTGGATTAAATCCGATGAGTGTTAAGAAAGTTATGATCGTTTAAAGTTAAACACCCAAAACGCTGAGAACTTTCCGGACAACCTAATTAGCGTATTTTGTGGCAATGTAAGGCATCTGATGGGGGATAGTAAAGCTTTGCTTGGCAAATACTGTTGGAATTGGTTGAGTGACAGTGCTCGCCCCGCACACACCGCTAACTGACCATAGCTGATGGTATTTCCCTACTCCAAGTGTCGCTGTTGCGTTCAACGCGCTGTTCGGCTCGGGAGTGGAGGGGAAAGGGGGGGGGGGAGGGGGTCCGTTCACCCCACCAGTTTCCTTTCACTAGTTCGCATTAATTAAATGGTCCCACTTCGCTGGGACCTGCAAGCACCTGTGGAATGGCATTTGAAGAATGGCATGTTACTGTGGTCACAGGAGTTCACATCTCTTGATAATCTGGCCTGTACACGCCTTCTTGAGTACTATTTTATGCCCCATTAGGACAAGCCACTATTGAGCTTGACCTGAGATTGAACTCTAGGACAAAACAAATCTTTTAGAACATGTTTCACGCCGTGGGTATGGTCTCTTTGATAGCTGCGCTTTCATTATTGGTCCGACTCTCATTTCTGCCATCCTGGAAACCCCTGCGAACGAATTGTCGCATTCTATCGTGGACTGAGAGCTATCTACACTATCCCCTAATGTGCCTCAGAGAGACCGCTTCCCCCTCTTTCTTTCAAACAGCCACGCCCTTTTTTCCGTGAACATAATTTATATTCACGTTACACACATTGTACTCTACATACGCCCTTCCGAAGGGGGGGGGGCTGCAGCGATACAAACGCGAGCCTGTAGCGCCGGTCTACCGACGTATGCGCATCAGGTCACTCCCACGGACAAGTGCTCGCTCAAATTAGTGAGAGATGAAATAACGGTTGAGCGACTCCGCCCTTATAACCAGCATGGAGTGTATCTTCGAACTACCCGCGTTTGAGCGAAAGAGCTACGTGTTTCTGAGGAATAAATAAAAAAAGGATAAGGAAAAAGCGATAATGAAAAAGGACAAAGATAAAAAGACATAAATGGGTTTGAATTGAAAAAAACAGCTTACCCTGGCGTTTCTGGAAGAAACGGGAGGAATACTGCAAATACCAGTATCATTCCAATTTCGCTAATATAAATATATGGCCTGAAAAACAATTGCATTTCCTATGCGGAGGTTTCGAAACCGGGGGATCTTCGGCAAAAGTACTCACCAAAGACTAAAGGTACCTAAAATTTGTGGCATTGCTAAAATTGAGCCAACAACGGTACCAAATTGCACACATGTACCAGTTATCATTCCTATTGCACCACGGCATTCTTTAGGGCTGTAAGAAAAGAGGACGTAACAAATCTGGAGAAATAAGAGACAGAGTATATGTAGCGGTAATAGCCTCGGAGTAATCGAAGAATTACGTTGTGCACAACTAGAGCTACTGTCTCCGAATAGAGATACCGTAATCCGAAGAATACCGAATGAGTTCGCCCACCCAAACTCCTTTTTCTTTCGACCTGAGCAAAAGTACTCATTTACATACTCTACGTAATTCTAGTTTTGCACAAGGACATCTCCGAGCGCTCCTTCGAGGTATTAACGCCGAAAATTCACCTGAAAATGGAAACTAACCTTGATTCAGAGAGAAATAAAGCTGCCAAACCAAACTCCAAACTGAACGTGAAAAAAGGGAACCCATCGTTCACTCGTGAAAAACTGTGTACATTATTACACTAGGAATCTGGAAAGAGTAACAGTATAGAATTTACCACTGTTGTAAAGCCCTTTTTGCTGCAGACACTTATGCCTGTTAAAAGGTATGTAGGCTAAGCAGCGTTAGCCCGTTCTCCTCTAATTTTTGTAACTCGCCCATTCGAAAACTTGGTTTAGAGCGGGATGAAGCTGCATCTAACCCAGCCCCCCCCCCAAATGCCTCAGTGTCTGCAGCAGGAACAACTACGACTGCTTTTTTCGGGTAACATTTGTTAGAGTTTCAGTCGTACCCACTATGCAATATAGTAGCCCCAGACAGGAGTGGCATTACTAGAAGATTCATTACTAGAAGCCCTCCTAATTTCTCAAGGGCTATTCAATACTGAGGCGGTTCGTCACTATCAGCCAGATGATAATGCCATCTTTCTCACATGAAGAAGCTTATCGGACGTTCCCAAAATTGTTTTTCAACTTCATGTAGGCAGTGGTAATCCTGTTGCCCAGCGAGCTTGGGATTGCGGTAGGCGTGGCCGCGTACGTCATCTTACAGTCGCGGCGCTGGTGGAGATACTTTCATTGTTATCATGTGTTTGTCCAACGCAAGACAATATGATTCATATATAATTGAATTATCCCCAAATAGCCATCCTACGCCATGTTAATATGAAGCACGTGATCACGCCTATCGAATCTCAACGAAGTGGAGTGTACAAGGGTGGGCATCCTTCCAGGTACTGGCACTATCAGGATGTCTGCGAGCATCACAGATACGCAGCACCCTCGCTCTCAGACACATAGAGTCCCCTTCGCTGGGGATGCTGGGGCGTGTCAGAGCCGGTTTGGCACAACGCCAGCCCCTTTTCCACCAGTTTTGGTCGCTTGCCCGGTTCAGCCATTAGTGGGAAAGTGGTTTGCGCTGTTCCCTCACATGCCTGGGATCCGCAGCGAACAGACTGTGGCTTCATGAATACCCCCCCCCCGGCTCGGGTGTGCTTTTTCATCTGTTCACATAAGTACTGGCACTGCAGCGATGCACCCCGCCTTCCCCCCTCCCCCCAACGCCCGCATAAAAACCCTTTAGTCGCTAATTATTTGACCTTTATACTAATCGCTTTAATTAACACTGCTGGCTGGCACGTTTTTAATGCTGGCAGTCATTGGTCAACAAGCTAGAAAGGGTAAAACTCACAAATTTAGACCCTGCTGAGAGTCCTGCAGAGATACAAGCAATTACCATCGATACATAAAGCCCCTGTTTCCGACCGATTCGATCGGCAATAAGACGAATCGAGAAGGAACCAGCAAGGGCACCAATAAACAATATAGCGACAATCAAACTCCAGATTTGCTAAAGGTGTAAGAGAACGGTAATTGTAGATTAAAAACAAGAAAAATAAAGCCACGTTAGATAAGTAGTATTAAACAATGAAACAAATCTCACATTTAGCGCCGAATCACTGGCATCAATATGGAGCTCAGACTGAAGAGATTCATTGAGAAATCGCATAAAGGCACTCTGAGCAGGATTCGTGATTACCAGTTGGTAACCAAAATGAAATGAACCACCTAGTGATACTATTAAAGCCACGGTTACCATTCGAAGACTGGGTTTTCGTTTCATGGTCTAAAAAGAAATACAGTACGTGGGCGTGGTAGTAAACTTGAATCAGGTTACTAGTAATGGATAAGAATTTGAAATTGCGGCATGAGAAAGACAAGTACATAAAACCAACAAAATGTGATACAATAAGTAACAAGGAAGAAAAGAGAAACTTCATCGTAGTGTACTGAAGTACAAGACCATTGGTAGTTCCAGTAATACAGGTAATAGCGAGCGAGCTTTCCTGAGGATGTTTTGCCATCACCCCTTCCACTGCGGTACAAATTAGCTGCATAATGGACCATGGTAATCCAACAGAATTTTCAAAGTTTACCTAGCGGAGGGCGGTGGTGGTGAAAAGGCAAATGCCGCCGCATACCAGGTGCTCGGTTCTGGAGTCGAACCGATCACTTCCGCACATGTCGGCCAGCAACCATCAGCAAGCATTCCATCCCTCGTGGTCGGTTTTTGGCGCCGGACTATGTAGTCTAGGTGTATACAAACATTGACTTGTACATCGGCTGACCCCCCACTGATAACCTGGCCATTCTTCCCAACATGCCCCAAAAAGGATTGTGTACGATAAAACCTTGCAGTAATGGCAGCGTATCGCGTATCGTTGGGTGCAACAGCTTTGTGAGCTTTTCATTTCGGCGAAGGATTAACTGTAGTAACTTAGCGGTATGAGTATTTACAGAGTCAGGGTAGTTTCCAAGGAGTACAAGTATGGAGCTTTTGGCGCCCTTCTATCCCTTTGGTATACCCTACTTATCTAAAGACTCGTAGTATCTGGGAAATATCTCGAATACGATCCCGCCTATATATTTGCTTTCTTGAACCGGATATCTTGCGAGTGTTTTCATCTTCATAGGCAATTCTCGTGCGGGCTGACGGCTCCCAGATGGATACATGGCTTGGTGGAAGCAAGCGGGAGCTGCTCCAAGATTAAGACTACGACCGAGTGGTACCTCTTGCAACTACATCATCTCCGCGAGATGTTTACTCCTACGCCCCTACTCCAAAATGCTAGCTTGAGCGGGATTGCTCACAAGTCAAACAGTGAAGAACGACGTGACCCTAGGCGAAGGGAATAAAAGGCGACCTCAAGCAGGAGAGTCCACTCAGGTTACTCACACTGATATGCAGTTAGAACTAACATTAAATGTGAAGACAACTACCTTGAAACAGGCTTCGAACCATAAAGTAGTGCGCTGAATTAAGAGCTGAGAATGACCATTCTCTCTAAGCCTTTCTCCATCGGCCTAGAGCTATTTTACGACCAACAGAGAGATCCATGAGCGAGTATTTCTTTAGACGATGACGACACTGACGAAACGGAGTATAATTATTGTGAGTGTACCGTTCCGCATAGTCTTACCTGGGGGGGTCACCTGTTCTGATTTTCCTACATTCTTCACTCATTCTTCTCTACATTTACTATTGAAAGTGCCTACTTATGAATGATGGCACTAGGACGTCGCTCAGACCGCATTCAGACTTCGCGACGGCAGCGGGTCGCGCGTTCGACACCATCGATGCAGTCGGAACTATGCGTATTGATCGCGTCGAACGCGCGACACAACGTTCAACACTGCCTTGAAAATGAGTCCGCTGTATCATCCTTTCTGCTAGGTGGGCCTACAACTAAACTTGATGGGGATGATATTCATGACGAATTTAATGGTCTCTAGTACCCGTTATTGTTCAACTGAACGCGTTTGTCTGAATATTGCAACTCTGTTAGGACATGTCGTAAGCTCGAGAATACCCGAAGAGAGGGAAGAAATGGTGGTCCAAGGGAGCGGGGCAGTATCTGGCCTGTGAGAAGTCTTCCCATTCAATGACTTTCCGCGTTTAGTGCAGGCTGTAGGCCGCACATCCCTCTGCCTTGTCCCCTGCGAGATTTTTTGAAAATTTCTTGAGAACCTAGATAGAATGTGAGGGGGTTGCTCCGACACAGAAAATTGAAGGGGAGGGTCGTATATTCGGGGAATTCTCCTTAACTCCAGCACGAGAAAGCCGACTTCAAAAAGGCAGAGAATCAGAACCAGGCAGGAGTAGGTAAAAAATGTTGGCATTTTCTCTCTCATACCGTGGGCAAGTGGAAGAAGCCCCTCGTCGGGTGTAGTATGAGAAGAGGTAGGGTCAGGTATTGAAATCGCTCATGTTATCCTTCCATCCTTCCGTAATACCCTCTGGAAGCCCTATCAGGGTAACTCGTCTGATTTTTCTCAAGTTTTCTCCTTCCTTTGCTTCTTCATCTTCATTCACTCGTCTTATTTCACCTCTGGCTTGTCTTGGCATTTATCCTTACTTTGTTGCTTATCTCTCTGCAGGAAAGCGTTACCTCGCTTTTCCTTTTGTTTGCTACCTGATATTTGTAATTTTTGCGCCCCACTGACACCTCTGCGCTTCACAGAACCGACGAGTGCATGGGTGCGGTTGGAACAAACACTTAAAGACTGTTAACACACATTTTTCAGTTGTTCTAGCGATTAAGGTTCTCCGCAGGGCGGACATGGTGCATCCGACTATGCACGTGCTTTTCTTTCGTTACAGTGTGCGCGCGCACTGTTTGCTGAGAAGGTATCAACTTTACATAGCATTATTTCCCAATGATCAACTGCTTCTGCCCGAAAGTCAACAGAATCGCCGGTCAATCAAATAACGCTTGAGCTTCGACATCTACTCCACGATCCAGCTGACGAGCATCGTTGCTGAGTACGGCGACAATTCCATCACGAATTATCCCTGGAAGATCCTAAGTTGGCAGTGGGTTACAATAAGCTTTCGGAAAAGGTTAAGGTTATAGTACAAGATAAAGTCTTCGCCGCTAGCCAGTCTTATTCTGGCATGCGCCACTCATTCTGCTTCCATTCGAGATCGCAATAGCTTACTGAATGCGATCTAGCATTACAATGACTCGGGGGGGGGGGACCAGCCCATGTACAAGTCTAAGATCTTATTCCCCCCCCCACACAAACCTGGTACCAATTAAGCGTTTCCGAAGAAAAGAAAGCTTGGTTGGTTTGACCAGGAGGTGACCTGATTTCCCTTGATTCCCGGACCGTGGCGTGGTAAACGTGCCGCTTGCCGCGACGCCGCAGCTTGGTTGGTGGTACAACCTGGAAAAGGTTACTACCACCAAAGTGCACTGTTATAGTTCAGGCCACTGTGTCGAATGCAGCCTACAAGTCTCATCATTAAGTTGAATCACATCCTCCACACCGTCCAGGCGCTGCCTATGGGTCCCAGGAAAGACTCCAAAGCCTTTTCAGGGCAAGTACACACCATATCTCATAGACAGAATTTGAAAACTGTCAAGTTCGTCGGCAAGCACCGTGAGATCCCATACACGTTGGTTTTAGGGATCCTGAAGGTGCAAGGGTTCAGGTCACTGTACATGTGGATGTCCACGTTTTCCGCTCACACGACCTTTCCAGAGGAAGTGATTCCAAAGGTACGTCCATGTTCTTTGGTGCCGTTCCCACCAACATGAATGAAGTACAAAAACAGGCAGTACCGTAAGCGAACTAACATCGCTACGGTAAAGCACTTTGCGCACAGAAAAACTTTGTCGAACCCAACAAATGAAAAGAGACCGGTTCCAATATACGCTAAAAACTAGTATAGTAACAAAAAAAAACTGTGAACTCCCATTCAAAATATTCTTTCGGTCCAGTGCATATCCTTTTCAGTTTCCGTCTCATATGAAAAAATAAGCAGTAACGGTAATATTATGGTTTTGCTCTCAGTCGACGTAGTTGTAAACAGTAAGTGAATTATGACGCTGGCTTTGGACATACAGTCCTCATCATTGCAGACCGGTGGGGCGGGTGAGCCGCGCTGCGTGTGACTCGGCTGTGACGCGGCAGCGATGACAGTCGCGTCACAGCCGAGTCACACGCGGCGCGGCTCACCCGCCCCACCGGTCTGCAATGATGAGCACCATACAACCATTTCCCCACAAGAATATGCAAGCACTTTGTGCCTGGAACTCATAGAAGTACTCCAATACTTTACTACTCGTTATTCTACCCCCTTCACAAAACTGCCATAGTTTGCCGGTTTCCGCGAACATATTGACCTATCTAGGCCCTGGAAAGGTCAAGGAAAAGCGGGGTAATCTAAATATCTATGCAACAATAGCCATTGATTAGCAATTTGACAAAAAATGAAGTAAAGTAAAATAAAAACAAACGATGAAAGTATAAGTTGGTATTTACTTTGAAAATTGTGCACGAAATTTCGTTGAGCAGACAATAGGCCAAAAGGCACAAATGATTTGAAATAAATGGAAGAAAACATAACCCAAACTTTATAATATCGCATATTTCTCGATATGAGACATTAGACTTGATCGGTTGGGCTTTCCATTGCGAATGATCAGTTGACTATTAAAGAACGCTGATGAAATCGTAGAGGCGTTGAACCGGTTACGCCTATCACTTGACCAGTGATCAGTGCCGACCACGTCATAACTGTGTTCCTAAGATTTCCCGTGCTAGCGTTTCCCCATATATGAGCACGTGACACACTTTACTTTTAGAAACTATGTGTAATTTTGTCTGATAAGACTTCATCATAACAACATAGCGTGTATTTACTGCTTACTCATTGCTCATGTTTATTACTTAATTAAAAAAAACAGTGGCACTATCCACCTTTCACACCCGACGACCTCCTGTCTCACCAATATAAGGTCCCGTTTAGAAGATAACCGTAAAAGAAACGGTAGCGGCGAAGCCAGGCAAGGCAACATGCCCTGATGACGTGGCGGCCAAAGTATGGAAGTCACACTGCTGGTATTGTGCTGAATGATTGACGTAGCTCTTCAATAAGGTCGCAGATGCCCGAAGGGGTGGCAAGAAAGCACAACCCTTCTGATCTGGAAAGAGAAGAGCAGCCCTGCAGACTGCTCAAATCAGATTCAATCGCTCTCTCTCGCATCCATGAAATTTTTCGAGCGGATTGTTGACAATCGTATCCATGATATCGTCCAGCTCTCCACCAACCAGTGT